GGATGTTATCGAAATTCGTTCTGGTATAACCTGTAATAACCTATGTAATATAAACACCACAAGTGGTTTAAAACTGTTATATACGTTATTCTATCCGAAACAATTAGAAACACATTGTATGATTTCGAATATGTGGCGGTAATCCATCTCGCGTAAGCAAGATGTAAATTTCCCAGACTGACATCTGATCGTGCGATTATAGATTCATCCGCCACAGCTGACGACTACGGCAATTCCTTCTGTGAGTACAGAAGAAAGAAGAGAGGATAGATGAGAAGATTAAAATCGTCCAGGCGAATATCTTCTTGTAGTGTCCCGAGTTTGAGATGTTTCCTCATGATCGCCACGCTTGGCAGAGGAGTTGCTGAACTTAATATCTACATTATAATTGAACCGTGTATGGATCCAGATAGGAACATGTACTCTACACTGCCACCATCACCTAGCGAATATAAATATGATAATAAGTAGCTTATTTATTTATTTATATATTTATTTATATGCCTAAATATTACTTTATACCGTACATCATAAAAAAGATTGCAAAGGGAGAACTTAATACCTTTTGACATTCTCTCTCAGTCACCCCGAGACGTGTGAAAAATAATGTGATAGGTGCCAGAAATAAAATGAACATTATAGTAAATGAGAAGAAAAAAAGTTCAAGCTGTTAAAATCCTGAGTAACTCGTATATCACTCGTATAACACACGCAAAACCTACAAACATTTTATAGAAACATTACGTGGGATGGAGATATCAAAAATCAATACATATAGTTATTAATTAAAAAGTTTTATGATCCATAATTATTTAGTTTAAAGCTATTATTGGTAGTTTACGACAATAATAATTTATAACCAATTAATTTATAGATAGTATAGAATATAATTTCGGACTATTTTCATTACGTGGATAATAAACTCGTATTTGACTACAAACTAGTAACTAATCGATCCGGCTTCGCATGGGTGATAATGACTAGTGTGATGTTTTCTTGTTACGAGTCCGTCAAAAACGCCACCATTTCTTAACAACCTATACACATTTTCATACGTGGTAGTGCCACGCTGCAGCTATATTATGGTTGTAGCACGAATGGGTCGGCTCAACCGTGGAAGGACCACGTTCTCACAGAATACCAGTGTAAAATAGCAGCTTAATACTGCCGTGTTTCGTAAGGTGAGTATAGAGATCCGGAGACTCTTTTTTACTGGAAATGAGGCATTCCATTTTAGTGCTCAGGGGTGACAACGTATCTGTGTTTTGATTCCTAATCGACAAAACTCATGATACCATCCATACCATCTAGATGACTGGCGGTCTACCATTAAGCGATTTAAAAGAAGTTTTCTTCCGCGCACTAATTCCTTATGGAATCAACTACCACCAGGGATTTTTCCGGACCGATACGACTTAGGGACCTTCAAGAAAAGAGCCTATTCCTTTTTAAAAGGCCGGCAACGCATCTGCAATCCCCCTGGTGTTGCAGTTGTTCATGGGCGACGGTAGTCACTTACCATCAGGTGAGCCGTATGCTCGTTTGCCCCTTCTCCTATTAAAAAAATCGAGGATAAGTGTAGATATCTATGGGCCACAGCATCCACTTACCATCAAGTGGACTGTGTGCTCGTTTGTCACCCTTACTCTATAAAAAATAATTTCATCATCACAACCTATCAAAAGATCACTGCTGAACATAGCCTCCCCGATAGACTGTCTTGTGGGGTAGACATTTGCAATAATTGCAAAACTCTCGCAACCGCAGCTTTTTATTATTTTGACTTGGTATCAGAAAGATGCTGCCGCCTGTCTCCTGTTTCTTTTTCCTCTGTCGCCGCCTCTCACTTTACCCACGGAATGTTGAGGGTTGTGGATATTCTCACTTCACTATTACACGTAGTCATCCATATACTCGTAGGCATTCTTAAATAAATTATGGTGGAAATCGCTTTTTTTAATAGGAGAGGGGGCAAACGAGTATACGGCTCACCTGATGGTAAGTGATTACCGTCGCCCATGAACAGGTGCAACACCAGGGGGATTGGAGATGCGTTGCCGGCCTTTTAAAAACGAATAGGCTCTTTTCTTGAAGGTTATGAAAATACTTGATGCGTTTTGATTTTAATCTTAACCGAATACACAGACAAACGTGGATAAGTGCTTCTGTTTTATACTAGATAAATATATCATAGATCTGCATATATAGGGATATTGGTATATATAGATATATATATATATATATAATCAATTTAAGTTTTGATTTTCTTTCAAATGAAAACGAATAGCAAAGAAGAGTGGCGTTGTGCAAATTTTCTCTAATATATCCTAACGTTTTAAGTGTAATAGTGTTCATCATAATTAATAAACATTTATAGAAGTTATATAGTTTTGTTTCAGATTTTTAGTAACGTTATAATTGTTAAAATAAAGGTGGGGAGGGATGATTAGTAACTTTGAATCTTATTATTTCGGTAGGTAGTGGAAGCAAGTACATAAAGTTTCACATCTCAAAATAAACCTATTAACTGTTCCGTGACTTATATGAACACTAGCGATCCGCCCCGACTTCGCACGGGTGACTTCTGGATCTCGACAACAGCGTCACCTACCGAATTCAAATGTGAATCCATACTATATAGGGATCTATTTAAACACACACAAAATAAAATCATCAAAATCGGTCGAGCAGTATTCGAGTTTTAGCGAAACTAAATAACATTGTGACTTAACTATCATAGTTAGAGATATTTACTCGCGGACTTTTTTAATTAATTATGAGTACCTTAATCATGTAGTTCATAATTTTTATGTATCATCATTAGATTTCTCAGCGCGTTTATAGACAAAATTATGCTACTTTGGTTTACATTATTGCAATTTTCTTAAGTATTTTTTAAAATAAATTATAGCTTATGTTACTTACAGATAATTTAGCTTTGTATTGGTTAGAAATGATGAGCTTATTCGGTACAAACAAACAAAAAAAATATTTCCTCTTTATTTTTAGATTTCGATTGTTTAACTTAGTATTTCGCGTGGACCTGGAAGTTGTTAAGACTAACCTTAGTAGGCAGATCGAAAAAAAATATAAGGATCCGTTTCACTAAAGCGGAACCCTAAAAAGACGCACCTGCCAGCCAACGCCTACGTTTGGCCTATGTTGTCGCAATACCTTTGTCACTTTGACTCATCCAATCCACTTTTACGATCCCATTATTCGGTGTAAACCTAATCTAGGAATAGATTTCCAACTTTACGACTCTTGGTTGGACCTGCACCGTAATAGTATACGGAACTTTTATAACCGAGAGAGCTAAATGCGAATGCCAACGTAAAGGTGACAATAACTGAAAAGTAATTGAATTTTACCACTAAATAGATTCGGAACGTCATGGCACAATGCCAAACAGTGTCGGTGTGAAACACATTATAATTTTATATTCCACGTTGCTTTATACCGCGAAATTGTATCGGGTATCGTATTCCTACTGAGATATCGTGATACCGGTGCGGTGCAGTTCGATGACCTTACAAGCAATTTAATGCTAAAATAGCGTGCAAAATGCGCAACTACTATTAACTGCCAGTACGGCAGTATATCAAACAAAATTACAGCGAATGTTTGTGGAGGCCATAAATTAACTATGAGTAAATTATCTTATTTAGCAGAAGCACAGCACCTGTCAATTTTTTTTTTATAAATGTATTTTTTCCAGTTAGTTTAAGGATTGTCTATATATTTATACGCATAAAACATATTGTAAAACATTTAAGTGTCTGTCTATTAATTGAAAATAACCGGCTTCTTTTATGCTCAGGGAGTTTTATTTACATTTTATTAAGACATAAATAACCATTTTTAAAAAATTTGTCTGCCTGTCCATCTGTTTGTTTATTTGTCAAGGCTAATCGTTAGAAAGGCTAAACGGAATGTGATGAAACCTTGCGAAGAGAGAGAGAGAGAGAGAGCAATGCCAAGATGGATCTAGGCTATATTTTATCTGAAAACATTGAAGTTTTTTTTTGAAAAAAAAAATGTTTATAAAACAAATAATCTTCGATTATTTTAATTCTCAACGACATGACCAATTGACGTCATACTCACACAGTATATTTATTTTGCCGAAAATATGGTTTTAAACTATGCTATGGTTTGAAAGGTAGCGCAGTTATTTGAATTTTTTAAAAACACTTATTTTCACAATATATGTGGGCTTAATGCCAAATAAGAAAGTCTTAAAGTCTAGGTCCAATTGTAGCGCTGTGGTCGAGTTATTAATAAATATTATATTTATTTTACTCTGTAAAAAGTTCAGAGTGAAACTAATTACGCCACCTATCGGAAACGACAGGACATAACTCGTCGAGCCAACTAGTAAACTATAGAAAGTAAACTAATTAACACTAAATTGCACAATTAACTTAGATTTATAATTTTAAAACTTCAAAATGGTATTAATATTACAGTACCTAATCATTGCAAATGAGAAAAATTGCGCGTATAACTTAGGTAACTACCTGCGAATGTCGTATCAGTACGGAAGACGGAATGCGACAGGAGAGCCAATCAGCGCGTGTGAACGATACGTTCAGCCAATCATACACAATAATGCGCAATACGCCCAATTATGCACAATAGCGGTCACCGCTAGACTTTCGTGCCGTGAGTTGTAAGAAATTGAGTATTCCGTTTACGTAGGTACATACTATTATTTGTTTGATAATTGTGATAATGTTGCACTTGCTTTTACTAGTTCATATTTTACGGGCCATCTTTACCTATTTAATTAACAACTGAAATCTGGGATAGCCTTGACACCAGGGCTTCAAATATAAGCTATTTAACGTCCTGGTGTCATAGCACCTACAACACTTACCACTCCCAACGACCCCATGACTACGAGTACTGCAAAGTAGTCAAGAAGATTAAAAGAAAAATTTAAAACAATTTAGTGTATCCGCGGAAATATAAACAATTACAGAATCTTATCAACTTACCTTTTTTTCCAACATGGCATGGTTTTCAAGTGCATGCATGATGGCCTCCGAGACCCTGGCATCGAGCGCCCTCAACGCAGCATCCGCGTCCGCCCGAGCCATTCGTTCTACGCCCTCTACGTAACCCGTCCATGGCGCATCGAGTTCTGCCACCAGAGATCCAATGCATCTGTAATAAACAAAAGCATTAGAATTCCAAACTAACGTACAGTCCACTGGATGGTAAGTAGCTCCTCCAATCCATGAACAACTGCAGCCAACTTCAGACAATGAGGGCTACAGATAAGTTGTCACCTCTGAGGACTACGATAAGGATGACAAACGAGCACATAGTCCACCTGATGGTAAGTGGATGCTGTGGCCCATAGACATCTACATTTATCCACGATTAATAATCAAAACGCAGATGCGTTATCACCCCTGAGGACTAAGATGGAATGATTTGTTCCCTGTAAAAAAGGGTCCCTGTAAAAAAGGGTGACAAAGCATTACTAAGCTGCTATTTTACGCCGGTAATCTGTGATAGCGCGGTCCTTCCCCGGTCGAGCCGACCTATTCGTGCTACAACCATAATATAGCCGCAGCGTGGCTCTACCACTTACAAAAATAGACAAATAACCGAAAGAATGTCCGTTCTTGTAATTTATGTTTCTAAAATCTACCACATAATCATTAATCACCACATAATGGGGTATACTCACAAAGTTTATTCTTCCATTTTGAATATACTTGTAAAGTTTTTTTCTTTTGTTTTTTTTTTAATTTAATGTCATCTGCGTACAATGCAATCTGCTGATATACCAATGAAGCTCTAGTGACGAAATCATTAACAGAAATAACAGACTGATGATGGGAAGCAGTGTAATTAGTTGGTTTACCTATCTGACTGACCACCGTGTTGACGACAATTTCATGACCGTATTCAATCATGAGATTAATTAGGTAACGACTCAGACCAGCAAACAAATAAAGACAGACTGCTACGTACATTTTAAGTGACGTCGAAGTTATGCCAAAACCATATTCAACTTTTTGTCAGAACACGCATGCACACCTATGCATTAGAAATAGTTTCTTACCAACAACATGGTTATAGGCGCATATGTATACGATCAGGAGAGACTTTGTACGGACAATTTAAATATGAACAAGGAAGATGTGTGCGTGAGTGCGTTTCAAGAAGTTGAGCATGATTTGATGAGCAGCGCTACGTCTATCTATGGTATATCTATATCTCCGTATATAATCTTTTTACGTGGTAGAGCCATGCTGCTACTATATTAGTTGTATAGTTGTAGCACGAATGGGTCGGCTCGACCGGGGAAGACGCTCTCACAGAATAACAGCGTAAAATAGCAGTTAAACGCTGCTGTGTATCGTATGGAGTGTAGAGAACCGGAGAACCTTTTTTACTGGAAAGGAGGCGTTCCATCTTAGTCCTCACGGGTGATAATGCATTTGCATTTTAATTCGTAATCGAGGATAGATGTGATGTCTATGAGCTACAGCAACCTCTTACCATCAGGTGGACTGTGTGCTCGTTTGTTACCCTACTTTTATTAAAAAAATCTTTCTTTGTAGGTCTGGTTTGTGGTTATGCATAGTTTAAACTTTAAAACTTAAATTAACCTAAGTATACATAAAATGTGTTTGTAGTATGTCAAATTAATGACTGCGTGAAGCGAATGGTATAGTGGACAGTGAAGAAAACCTTTCAAGCATTAAATAAGGCGTATGTCAGGTAGTGGTAGTACTTTTTCTTTAACTTTCAGGAATTTTAAATTACTTTTATGTACTAATTCTGAGCACATGTTATGTAGTGTTTATGAACACTACATATTATGTGTGTATGCACAATTTCTCAATTCACACGGATTCCAAAAGTTTACATTAAAAAATAAAACTTTAACACCATACAGCCTTCTATAAGTCTACTGCTAAACATAGTGTAAAAATTAAAATATAATTAAAAATAAAAACAGGTCTCAAATATTGATATATATTACGGTTCTCTTTATAGGTAATCGTTACTAAAGTTTTTTTTTAGAGTCAGGTGCATTTGCAATGCACAGTTAATTTGCATTCGTCCAAAGAGAGGTGGAACAGGCCGGTTGCACGGCTGTAGATAGCATCAAGCTTCATGTAAATGCAGTAGTTTTGCGGCTAGGCCTAAAATTGTTTTATTTCGTTATAGACCACATCAAAATATAGCCCAAACAAACTTCTCTTTATAAATAATACTATTATTAAGGGCAAGTGTTATTGGTTACATTCAAATGTTATTGTAGTTGTTTTATTTATACTCGTCTGTAAACTGTTAGCACTTCTGCCGTGCCTATAAAGACTGCAGTAAGATCAATATCACAGCAACAAAATAACTCCCAAACTTTCAAATGAACTCTGCAGTTTAATTTTAACGTCATGATTATCATTACGAAGAACAGGAAGAACACAGGCTCTCACAGATAGCCTCGTTGGGGCAGAGGGATTGGCAACTGTAGTTTTTTATAAGTTTGAGTAGTTATCAGGTAGATGGCGCTGCTCATCTCTATCGCTTTTTATCTCTTACGTGATGTTATGGGGTAGTGAATTTTTTAACGCCGCCTCTACACGGCACATAAGTCTATCGATACATTATTTATAAATCTTTAAAATGAAAATTTAAAATAAGGGTCTCATTTTCGCACAAAGCTCATTTAAAGAATTTCGCATACATTCAATGTCAAATACTTACGTACTGCATCTATGGTAGTTGTTTTACTACTATCATCATAATTATCATCAGTCCGTAAAATATTTTTTATAGTATATGGGTGACAAACGAGCCCACAGTCCACCTCATGGTAAGTGGTTGCTGTGGCCCATAGACATGTACATCTATCGTTACGCATCAAAATGCAGATGCGTTGTCACCCGTGAAGACTAAGGTGGAATGCCTCGCTTCCAGTAAAATGGATCTCCGGTTCTTATACTTACCATACGAAACACAGCAGCGTGAAACTGCTGTTTTGCGCTGGTATTCTGTGAGAGCGTAATCCTTCCCCGGTCGAGCCGACCTATTCGTGCTACAAATATACTTCTAATATAGCTGCAGCGTGGCTCTACCACAATAGTCCATCTAGTCTCATAGCCCATTTTATTGTCAAATCATTGACGACGCTACCGACGACTCAAAGCTTGGATGCTGCTTGCCTTCACGGGTCTGCTACTTGTTGCCTGGCGCAAAGAGATTATACTGCCATTTATCGGAAGCCATATGGTATCTCCGGTATATTTCATAATGACCTCTTACGACACCCACGGGATGAAATAAGGTGATGTAAGTCCAAGGATGTAAGGCCACACGGCACTCATATAGTTTTGTTATTTTTTTAAAATCCTAACATAACAAATGAGCTCATGCTTGTTTTGCCATATCATTATTTTTCTTTGTACTTAATTAACCTCTTTAGTAAAATGTCAAACGATTCACATTTGCATTAATATAATAGTGCTAAAGTCAAAGATTCCCGCAAAACGGTTTCCCGTTAAGCACAGTAAGTTCGTGATCAGACATTAAACAAAACTAGAGGCTGCGCAGCGGGACGTAACTGTTATGTCCCCATAAAGTTGTATACTCATTATATTACGTCTATCGGTATCGTGTTTTCTATGAAGACGACATAAAGTAGCAGGTAGAAGATTGTGTATTCAAAATAATTAACTACGACTTTATCGCCGTACTGCGGGACTATTTCTAGTTCGCCGCTCATGAGCCTCGAAGTTTCGACTTCTGATAAAGAATTTATTATACTGTATAAAAGCTTTTCTACTTCGTTAAATTTGATGTCGTGACACTATTTTTGGGTCCGCTTTTATTTCTACATAATTGGCGGAGAAAAATAAATTAAATATATTTGATAAAGATATTAATAGTTACCTTGCAACCATCCGCTAAATTATATACAATGATGTGTCTTCCCTAGTTTGAAGAGCACCTCCCGCCCTCCCTCAATAGCGTGCACTAATCTCGTCACCACCAATCCAGCCCACGCTCCCAACACCACTATTCTAGGAAAGACACAACATCGACGATAATACGACACGTATTTCGCCCCTACACGAGGCATCTTTAGGTGATGTTGACTCTACGGCGGCTGACCGCTAAGTCACATCATTGTATATAATTTAGCGGATGGTTGCCAGGTAACTATTAATATCTTTACTATAATGGATTTCCGCAAAGTAACGCCTGATTCTATCAAATATATTTGAGATTGTTAAAATTAAAATCCCGTGTAGTGACGTTGTAAGAATATCCCCTATCCCATATCATCCCGTGGGTTTCGTAAGAGACGACAGAGGGAAACAAATCAGGAGATAGGGAGCAGCATCTTCTTAATAACGGGTAAAAGTAAAACTGGAGTTGCCAACCCACTTGCTAAGCGTGGCAACTATGGCAAATATGGGCAGTAAGGGTAACGGAGATTTGTTGAAATAATTAAGAGCAAAAGTTTTTTTTAGTGTGTTCAACATTTCAAGTAGTACATGTAATTAAAGAAATCATTATAATATCCTTAATAAATTTTGTGAGAAAAATAAACTTAAATAACAACGAAATGAATATCATTAATCATTAAAATTAGCTTGAATGACCGTGTGGTTGCGGTGTAATGTCGCCTCTACACGTTGGCCAACACAGTGGCGAATGTAGTGGCGAATATATTGGCCGAGAGTTGGTGACGGCGTCCACACGTTGGAAGGTCGTTCAGTTTACTTCGGTTCGGGCCAATGTGCGGACGAATTTATTTTATTTTAGACGACGGCTCCGTGGCGCAGTGGCTTAGCAAGGAGTCGCTGTGCCGGGGGCCGCGGGTTTGAATCCCGCACGGAACAAGTATTTGTATATCCTACGAATAATTGTTTCGGGTCTGGATGTGTGTCCTTGTGCAATTTATGTTTGTAAACTGCCTCCGCGATACAGGAGAAAATCCAAGTGTGGGGGGGTAACGTTTTTATAAAATAATTATAAAAGAATAGTGGATATTAATGGGGCTGTAAATAGATTAACGATATACGATTAGCTTTATTTATTCTTTACATGCATCTTAAACTGGAATAAATACCATTAATAAGAACTTAACTTATTTTAAAGTTAAAGGAGTTATAATCGATTAGTCTATGTTTTAA